CGGGAGCACCACCGCGCTTCCCAAGCGGCGCACTGTAGCAGTGCGCCACTGGGCCGGCCCTCCATTTAACATTTTGGCTCGTGGAATGGAATAAACATAATGAAACTGCCTTTTATCTACCAATGTACTGGGCTGAATACTGTCCCCCCCAAAAGTCATTTCCACCAGAACTTCAGAATATGACCTTATTTGGAAACAGGGTCTTTGTTGATATAGTCAGTTAGGATAAGGTCATACTGGATTAGGATGGGCCCTAACCCAATGGCTGCTGTCCTTATAAGAAGTGGGAAATTTGGACACAGATGCACAGAGAGAACAGCATGTGAAAACAGAGACACACAGGAAGAACACCATGTGAAAACAGAGGCAGAGACTGGAGTGATGTGTCTACAAGCCAGTGAATGCCAAGGAATGCCAGCAACCAACAAAAGCTAGAAAACAGAGGCATGGAACAGATTCTCCCTCAGAGTCTCCAGAAGAGGGGTGGTTAACTCGATGGGGGACATGGGCAATAATCACAATATGTGTTAATGCGCATGCTGATAGTATTGATCTGGCTGTCACATCTTGGGCACAAGTGGTGACAGTCAGCTTTGTACCCCATGAATATGCATAATCAGTAAAAAAAAGAAAAAGAAAAAAGAGTCTCCAGAAGGAACCAAACCTGCTGACACCTTGATTTCAGACTTATAGCCTCTAGAACTGTGAAAGAGTGAATTTCCGTTGTTTAAGCCCCCCAGTTTGTGGTTACAGCAGAACTAGGACACTAACGAACAGGGTCTGGTTTAGGAAGAACGTCAGTGTGAGGGAAGGTGCCCTGGTCTTCCCAATCCATTGTCTACTTCAAATAGCCCACCAGTTGGGGTTGCCTTTTTCAAGCCAGAAAGTACCTACTGCCCTTCCCAAGCAGATGCAAGAGCTAGTGACAATAGTCATGGGCAGAGGGGGCAAGAAGGAAAGAGGTTGGACTGCTCAGTTCACACCTGTGCTGTGCTGCTCAGTAACGGGCAGTTTCTTCCATGTTTTGTCATCACTGCTGTGGAAGCAAAGGGAGCCATGAATGTTCCGGGGCCACTGCAGGGCTCTGGCAGGACTGAGGGTCCAAGGACCAAGTAGTGTGCTCATGGGTGGTGCTAGGCAGAGGGTGACACACAGAGCATGTGGCTGAGGTGCTGGGCTGTGTCAGTCCCAACTGTCACCAAGGAAGAAGGGGTCAGCTAACCCACAATGGAAACTCATAAGTATTTGGCCAAGAAATGGGCTGAAACATTAATATTGGGCGGATGAGCAGGGGCAGGAGCTGGGATCAGGCTGAGAGAAGATAAGAAGTCAGGCAGAAATGAGGCAGAGCCTGTGCAGGGCAGAAAGGTCGGTGCCACTGCAGGTGTAGAGAAGACCACGCAGGTGGCCAGAGAGCCAAGAGAAATGAAGAGAGGAGCCGCGCATGGTGGGGACAAGTGCCAGGCTTCCTCCTAGGACGAAGAATGTCAAGGCAGCAGGTGAGGGTGGTAGGACGGGGTCCCTCCCTCCCTGGGGCACGTGCCAAGGCTGGGATAGCAGCAGGGGCATTTGGTAACACACCTCAGGGCAGAGGAGGGAACAGACACAACTTCAGCATCACATTACCCTGGAAAAATATGAAGAGGAGGTCAAACTCAGCTATGTGAATGGCCTGACTGTCTTGTAGACCCTCCCTGAGGCCCAAAGTTCCCACCCCAACCCCATCTAGAGTGGCACCTGATGGCCTGAATGACTGACGACCCATGTCAGAGACCAAGAAGAGTAAGAGCTCATGCTGAAAGGAAGCAATTGGTTAGAGAACCGAGGGGCGGTTTGAGGGTGGGGAGAGGGTCTGGGCCAAGGGAGAGAAAGAAAAGGCTCCAATCCAAGGGCACCAACCATGAGACTCGTGGCTGCACCCTTGGGAGATGAGGAGCCACACTGAGGAGAGCAGAGGGGCAGTGCCTTGCGCCAAACAACCTCAGGACATTGTATGGGGTGGAGGCTGCAAACCTGGAGCAAAACCGCGCTTGCGACTCTCTTGTGGAGTCTGTGTGTGCTTGATGGGCTCACTGTGAGGCTGCTTGGTAGAGGACTGCTTCACCCGTCCCCTCTACCTTGAAGGGCATTTTGTAAACAATTGCAACGTCCCAATTCAGGCGACTCCACCTGCCCTACAGGCCCCCATCTAGGTGGGCAGGGGGTTACAGACAGTGTAATGACATGGCAGGCTTTCTCTGGAGACTCTCCTTGGGTGTCTTTAACAGATTCACCTTGGGGTGGAGTGGGCCTTCAGAAGGGTCAACTTACCTCCTATGCCTGGCACGCCGGTCCCACTCAGGTCATTTGGATGTGGAGCTGCCGGTGGGTCATAGCCTATCACCAAGTCAATGGTGGCCTGGGTAGAAACAATTCGTTGCATATAGGATCAGTGCAGGTATCAGAATGGTATAGACCCAATGCGAACAATTTAGCAGGAGTAAAAGTCTTAGAAGGGATGAGCGGGGGCTGGGGGAGGGGACAGGAAAGTGAAACTAGAAAGCGGGAAGGGTGGCACTTGCTGTACTGTTTCCATCTTCCTACGTGAGAGCCAAGGTGGGGTGGGAAAGGAGCTACCTGCTACAGGTTGCCAAGTGCGTCATTGCTAAGGAGCAATCTCATAAACCAGAGCAAAGTTGTGACAAGCAAGTGTGAACTTGTAACTCACCTCCATCCTAGACTGGAGATGGCTTCTGATCATAGAATTACAATTACAGAGGCCCATTTTAAAAGATTAACTTATTTGTTTGCATATTGACTTACTTGGTTAATTGCTGAGATTTATTTTTTCACTTTTCTCTAAAATAGAATTTTAAGTATCTAACAAAAAAATGTATGTAACAATGGGATTCATAAAATAGGATTTAAAAAAGGGAATTGAGTCTGATTAAAAACAAAATAGGGCCGACCCCGTGGCGCACTCAGGAGAGTGCGGTGCTGGGAGGGCCCGGCACTCCCGCTGCGGGTTCGGATCCTATGTAGGAATGGCCGGTGTGCTCACTGGCTGAGCGCGGTGTGGGCGACACCACACCAAGGGTTGCGATCCCCTTACCAGTCAAGAAAAAGACACACACACACACACACACACACACACACAAAAAATGAAACAAATATGCAAACTATAAGGTTTGCCATCCCTCTTTCATAAACCATTACCCCAAGATGCCTAGGAGCCAAAGCAAAAAGGGAAACAGAAAAGTTATGTAACTTTCATTATCAAAAGGAGGAAACATACTAACTCTTTACAGGAGACAAACTTATACCTACTTATAAAACCTGAGGTAAATTTCTCAAATGGAGCATTAGTTTAGGGCAGTTTCCTATACTTATATATTTCATGAACCTACAAAATTCCAAAAAATTTACTAGGGGAAATCGACATAGGGTTACTAACTTTTATTCTGCCAAACACATTCCCACAACTGCCATCTACTATCACACTCATTCATAAGACAAAGGCATTTTAATGCCAAAAATGAGGAAAGACAAATCTCAAAATAAAGGGAGTCCTTGGCGAATGAGGTTGGC